ACACCAACACCTTGCCTTCTGCAAGGATCCCTCACCCCTGAACCCACTTTTATTCACAACTCATCATCAAAAGATGAACTGACCACCGCCCCATCATTATCCCCCGCAGCTGCTTCCAGCTCTTCACATGAGCCCTCTCGTCTTTCCCTCCAAGTCCTCCACCTCCTGTCAAGACTTAGGTCCCTCCAAGACTCAGTTGGATCCCCTGATTGCCAGTCTTCACCCCCAGAGAACCCCATAAAGGGGTCAAACAGACAAAGAGTTCTTTCTCCCATCCTGGACATTCCACAGATATATAAACCCCACTTGTCCTAATTTCCAATAGACCTCAGAACCTCACTAGTTGTTGGCTCCTCACAAATAGCTTGCACTTCTTTTATCTTAGTCTAATCCATGGTGTCTCCTTCTTCTCCTTCACTCATTGACCCATCATCCCCAGAGAATCCTTCAAACGATTCCTCATCTGTAGGCGCTGTAAATATGTCCCGGATCCTCTTTCTCTGCTGCTCATCATCAGAATCCTGCTCCCGAGTAACCCTTTTTCCTCCTCTGGCACCCACACTACTGTTTGTAACATTACTCACAGGCTCTACTACAACACAGTGATTCCGGCCATGCAAGCCTTCAACAATATACAATAGGATTTTTTAAAATAAAAATAAAATCAACTTGCAATATATATGCCATTTCGAAGAAATAATTGGGCAGAACCACACTTAATACAAACTATCTTCTGATTTCATCCCAAATTTCAAAAGCATGCATGGTAATATTTTCCATACATTTTATTAATCCTTAGTGGTGTCGGATACCAACAATAAATTAACTTGTAGTAATTTTCATTTAAATTGACACATATTTAATTTGCCATCTTTCTGACAAATACTAGCTCTCCTTCTACTTTGCTTATTTCTGATACGATCAGTGTCTCCCAACATGTTTCATAATAGTCTCCTTTTATTAAATCTTAGTCCAATAACAAGCAGTACAAGTTTCCCAACAAACCCTGAAGGCTTTTCAATTCTAACACCATTTTTTTAAAAAGCATTCTCAGTCAATTCCATCATACTCAACTGCATATGTAATGTTCAATCTGCATAATTGGAATCAAGATGGTTGATCAAGTTTCATTCTCTTTTTTAAGAACATCCCATCAGATGCATTTTTCATGTAGTAACAAGTACAAGTGTGTTGTAAAAGTTTCATTCTCTTTTTTAAGAACATCCCATCAGATGCATTTTTCATGTAGTAACAAGTACAAGTGTGTTGTAATATTGTGTGATTCTTGTGAAGAGTTCTCACCAATGATTGAAAAGCTATCATTATCAAGGAAGTTACAAGGAAAACTGTCCTCATCATTCATGTCTTTTGTGTGTGTGTGTGTGTGTGTATGTATGTATTCACACACACACACACATATATATACACACACACACATACACACAGTCGCTGAGTTACAAATAGGTTCTGTAGGTTTGCTGTTAAATTGAATTTGAAGTCAGAATAGGCATAATTTTAAAGTGCAAAATCAATTTGTTAAATTTTCATTTTGTTTGAAATGCGACACTGACATAAACACTGGCAAATTTTTTTTATTTATTGTGTCTGAAGCAAATTGAGAGTACAGCTATGATGTATTTAAAAGAACACAAACAAGTTAGAAACAAGTTATTTCAATTTTTAATCTATTACATTTGGCCCGGCCATTAATTTTTAAGTGCTTATGTCAGTGTGATCATAGAATCATAGAATCAAAGAGTTGGAAGAGACCTCATGGGCCATCCAGTCCAACCCCATTCTGCCAAGAAGCAGGAATATTGCATTCAAATCACCCCTGACAGATGGCAATCCAGCCTCTGTTTAAAAGCTTCCAAAGAAGGAGCCTCCACCACACTCCGGGGCAGAGAGTTCCACTGCTGAACGGCTCTCACAGTCAGGAAGTTCTTCCTCATGTTCAGATGGAATCTCCTCTCTTGTAGTTTGAAGCCATTGTTCCGCGTCCTAGTCTCCAGGGAAGCTGAAAACAAGCTTGCTCCCTCCTCCCTGTGGCTTCCTCTCACATATTTATACATGGCTATCATATCTCCTCTCAGCCTTCTCTTCTTCAGGCTAAACATGCCCAGCTCCTTAAGCCGCTCCTCATAGGGCTTGTTCTCCAGACCCTTGATCATTTTAGTCGCCCTCCTCTGGACACATTCCAGCTTGTCAATATCTCTCTTGAATTGTGGTGCCCAGAATTGGACACAATATTCCAGGTGTGGTCTAACCATACGAATTGTTTTGTTTTATTTGATGTTTATTGTTTTATTTGATGTTTTGTTTATTGATGTATTGTGGGCTTGGCCTCATGTAAGCCACAGCGAGTCCCTTGGGGAGATGGTAGCGGGATACAAATAAAGATGATGATGACGATTATGATTATGATTATTATTATTAGAAACTTGGCATTATACTAGATTTTCTTTGACCAGAACCTGGCCACTTCGAGTGCCTCTGGTGTCACTGTGAGAAGATCCTCCATTGTGCATGTGGCGGGGTTCAGACTGCATTGTAGTAAGTGGTCTGTGGTTTGCTCTCCTCTGCATTCGCATGTTGTGGACTCCACTTTGAAGAACCATTTCTTAAGATTGGCTCTGCATCTCATGGTACCAGAGCACAGCCTGTTCCGCGCCTTCCAGGTCACCCAATCTTCTATGTGTCCAGTAGGGAGTTTCTCATCCAGTCTCAGCCATGGATTGAGGTTATGGGTTTTAACCTGCCACTTTTGGACTCTTGCTTGCTCAGGTGTTCCTGCGAGTATCTCTGTAGATCTTAGGAAGCTGTTTCTTGATTTAAGTCATTGGCATAGTGGCTGATATCCGAACAGAGGATGGGCCAGAGATGTCCATGCCTTAGTCCTTTCGTTATTGACTGCTACCTTCCGACAGATGTCAGGTGGTGCAGTATTGGCTAAATAGTATAATTTCTCCAGTTGTGTGTGGTGTAGACATCCTGGGATAATGACAGTGCCATCTTGTCTTCAGTGTCATCAGTTGGGAGCCCCCCCCCCCCCAAAGCACCAACTGCTGCTCTGAGTCCAGAGTGAAGAGAGGGAACAGGATGTTGAATTTATTGTATTTACATATTACTTGTAGGCCGCCCTGAGTCCCCTTCGGAGTGAGAAGGGCGGCATATAACTGCCATAAATAAATAATTAAATAATGCAGCATGTCTCATTAAGACATGTTTTACCATGGTAAGATGTATTCCACACTGGGCATGCATATACAGCAGCAGAGTAGCAAAGTGCTAGGGCAAATGCCTTCACTGTATTTGGTTGTGATCCCCAGGTTGTGCCCGTCAGCTTTCTTATAATATTGGTTCTAGCACCCACTTTTTGCTTGATATTCAAACAGTGTTTCTTGTAAGTCAGAGCATGGTCCAGAGTAACTCCCAGGTATTTGGGTGTGCTGCAATGCTCCAGTGGGATTCCCTCCCAGGTAATCCTCAAAGCTCGAGATATTTGTTCTTAAGATTAAAAGCACGCACATCTGCATTTTAGATGGATTAGGAATCAGCTGGTTTCCCAGGTAATAGGCAGTAAAAGCACCTAAAGCTTTGGAGAGCTTCTGTTCAACGAATTCAAAGCTCCCTGCTTGAGCAGTGATGGCACGTTCGTCAGCATAGATGAAACTCCCCCTCCCTTCTGGCAGTGGCTGATCATTTGTGTGAACGTTAAACATTGATGGAGGAAGCACGCTCCCCTGAGGCAGGCCATTCTTCTGTTTTTGCCATCTGCTTCTCTGACCCTGGAACTCAAGAAAAACATTTTCAATTGGGCATCTCCTATACAAGACACACACTTTTATTTAGGACTAGCCGTCCCCTGCCACGCGTTGCTGTGGCCCACATGGGGGTTCTGTGTGGGAGGTTTTGCCCAGTTCTATCATTAGTTGGATTCAGAATGGTCTGTGATTGTAGGTGAACTATAAATCCCAGCAAATACAACTCCCAAATGTCAAGATTCTATTTTCCCCAAACTCTACCAGTGTTCACATGTGGGCATATTGAGTATTCATGTAGAGTTTGATCCAGATCCATCATTGTTTGAATCCACACTACAACTCCAAAACCAAAGGACACTGCCCACCAAACATTTCCAGTATTTTCTGTTGGTCATGGGAGAACTGTGAGGCAAGTTTGGTTCAATTCCATCGATGGTGGGGTTCAGAATGCTCTTTGATTGTAGGTGAACTTTAAATCCCAGCAACTACAACTCCCAAATGACGAAATCAATTTTTTTAGTGAAGGACATACATTGGGTTGTTAGGTGTCATGTGTCCAAATTTGGTGTCAATTCGTCCAGTGGTTTTTGAGTTCTGTTAATCCCACAAACAAACATTACATTTTTATTTATATAGACTAGCTTGGGGACCCGGCGCTACCCGGGTATTTGAGAATTATGTATCAAGGTTGTTCTTTATCAGTTATTTATATGGCTCGCAGTGGTCTCAGGAAGTTAGTGAAGGTCCTGCGAGTCCCATCGTCTGTGGTCCATCCTCCTCCAAATTGCACCAGGATGGAGAGTGGGTCATACGGGCTCTGTGTGCCAAGTTTGGTCTTGATCGGTCATTGGATGAGTGTCAGTGGTCACAGAAAGTTAGTGATGGTACTGCAAATCCCTCAGGCCCTTTCATTTCCCCTGTCATCCACGTGAGAATGTTAGAATCTTGAGGCTGGCCAATCAGAAACCATATGCAAATTTCCTTTCCCCTCTCAGCCACTTGAGAATGTTGGAATGTTGAGGCTGGCCAATCAGAGACCATATGCAAATAATACCACAGTGGCAACCAATCAGAAAGCTGCCACATACACCGCCGCACTTCTGCCTGCCGCATACATACAAACATGCACTTTTATTATATCTATAGATAGATTTTAGTCAGAGTATGTTAGAAAGAACAGCGAATTTATAGGGATATTTTGCATGTGGACCTAATGAGATATGTTGTGTTTTCCAGGAGCTGTGTCAGTGCCGACCAGGTGAAGGAAATTGCTCATGCTGTAAGGAGTGCATGCTTTGCCTCGGCACTCTTTGGGATGAGTGCTGTGACTGTGTTGGTAAGTTCATTGCTTATATATTTTTATTGCCTAGCTTTCCACAGTTGCATCAAATAGCAATGACTTTTAAGGTCCAGATCAGCCCCACTGGTAGAACGTTAGGTACAAGTCAATTTCATATTGAACTTTGATGGCAGAGTAAAATTGACACAAAATTAACACGCGGCTGACAACCCACATGGATGGGGTGACGTATGGAACAGCACTTCATGCTTTAAATCCGTTTCAGAAAATCTCTCCCTCATTATACAAAAGAGTACAAGAACTGTTATTACTGTGTTGTCGAAGGCTTTCATGGCTGGAATCACTGGGTTGCTGTGAGTTTTCTGGACTGCATGGCCATGTTCCAGAAGCATCCTCTGACGTTTTGCCCACATCTATGGCAGGCACCCTCAGAGGTTGTGAGGTCTGTTGGTAACTAGGCAAGTGAGGTCTATATATGTTGTCTGCTTGAGGCAAGTGTGAATGTTAGAAATGGCCACCAAACGCAGCATCCAAACACGAATCAAGGAACACGAAAGGCCCTGCAGACTACTTCAACCTGAGAAGTCAGCCATAGCAGGGCACCTGGTGAACCAACCTGGACACAGGATATTATTGGAGAACACAGAAATGCTGGACCACTCTAACAACCACCGTGTCAGACTACACAGAGAAGCCATTGAACTCCACAATGCTGTGGACAATTTCAACGGAAAGGAGGAAACCATGAATATGAACAAAATCTGGCTACCAGTATTTAAAAAACACTAAAATCAGGACAATAATTAAAGAGAAACACTCAAAAAGCAGAAACACTCAAAAAGCAAAGAATCAGGGCCAGCTAACACCTCCCAACAAAGGATTCCCAACTGAACATGAGGAAGAACTTCCTGACTGTGAGAGCCGTTCAGCAGTGGAACTCTCTGCCCCGGAGTGTGGCGGAGGCTCCTTCTTTGGAAGCTTTTAAGCAGAGGCTAGATGGCCATCTGTCAGGGGTGATTTGAATGCAATATTCCTGCTTCTTGGCAGGGGGTTGGACTGGATGGCCCACGAGGTCTCTTCCAACTCTTTGATTCTATGATTCCCCCAGGCAGGAAGCAGCCAGGCTTTAAGCTGCAAGGTCATTGAATGCCAATCAAGGTGGCCAATTGCAACATTCACATTTACCTCAAGCAGACGAGTTTTTTCTCCCACACCGGACACCACAGATATATAAACCCCACTTGACTAGTTTCCAACTGAAAAACGTCAGGAGAGAATGCTTCTGGGTCATGGCCTGGAAAACTCACAGCAACCCACTATTATTACTATTGTGGTATTCTTATCCCATTTTCCTCTTTGAAATGAGGCTCAAATTGGCTTGCAATACTGAAAACAATACTACAAACTAATTACAAATTAACTCATACGGCATATAATCATTAATATAGAATTAAACAGAGTTGTTAAAAACAAATAAATAACAATCACATAAACTATTAAAAACCACTAAAATAACTAAAAAACTGCCCAGCACCTCAGCTAATTCTTAAAATCTTTCTCCTTCAAAAGCCCAGTCTGGACAAAAAAAAAGCTTGAACTGGACAGAGACAGATGTTTTGTCTGTACTGGGACATGTTGTGTATACTCAAAAAAGTACAATTACTTCCTCTGTTTTTATAAACATTTAAATACTTACGGCAATAGCAGATCTCTTCTGAACAAATCTTGCAAGGAAGGGATAGGATCCCCAGTAGCCGTAGGTCAGAAACAACTTGAAGACACACAACAACAAACTTTTTAGTAGCCATTTAAATGATTATATAGCGAGCGGCTTGCAATAAAAGATTTATGATACTTGTTTAGTATTTAAGTGAAATGCAGGGGGGAAATTTATGAGACCACAAGGCCCACAAAGAGAGATTATACACACACATTCAGTGTCCTTACAGGAAGTAAAGTTCAGGTGAAATAATAATTTCTTGTATTGTTGAAGACTTTCATGGCCGGAATTACTGGGTTGTTGAAGGTTTTTTCGGGCTATATGGCCATGTTCTAGAGGCATTCTCTCCTGACGTTTTGCCTACATCTATGGCAAGAATCCTCAGAGGTAGTGAGGTCTGTTGGAAATAGGAAAATGGGTTTATATATCTGTGGAATGACCAGGGTGGGGCAAAGAACTCTTGTCTGTTGGAGCTAGGTATGAATGTTTCAACTGACCCTACCTCTGAGGATTCTTGCCATAGATGTAGGCGAAACATCAGGAGATAATGCCTCTAGAACATGGTCATATAGCCCGAAAAAACCTACAACAACCCATAATATTTTTTTTATTAATATGGGAAAATCAAGCAAAGAGATCAATGAAATAGAGCAGCAAGGCACATGGACATGAATTCTGTATTTATCTGTGTGAACAATTGAGTGGCATTTTTCTTGTGTGAACATGTAATGTGGGTTTAATTCTTTCCTCAGATGTTATGATGTTCAGCTGTAATTCTGGCAAAGGACTGAACTCATTGCTGAAGCTGACTCAATCATAGTCTTGAGCTATGATGAAATAATATTTGCATACATTAACATGGCATGTATTTCTTTTCCATTTGGAGGTGCACCCATTTTATACACGCAGGTATTTGAGATTAGTTCCCTGCCTTTCTCTCTGGTTTTTGCCAAGAGGCAGGCTAAGATTCTGTTGTCATCCTAGTGTTTCTTGCTGCCAACACTGGTTGAATAAACATTAGGGAGATGGTCTTGTGCTGGTACGGCTGTACCAGGAGCTCCAACTTTATTTTCTTTCTGTTATCTGTTTTGCAGTCATAGGGCAGGCTTCCTGTCCATCATAATTAAGCTTTGGTTCCGCCCCTTGTGCAGGGTTCTGGGAGGGAAAGGAGCCATTTTTTGGTCAGTCTCACACAAGGTAGCTAAGCTATAGGATGTAGACCAGCTCGTCCCGTAGAAAAGCTTCCTTTCTCAAGAGCATCGAGGGAAAAGTAACCATCCAGGGAAAAATAGCATCTGGGGATACAGAAGCAGAAATTCCAGGGGAAAGGTCCCAAAAGCTCTGGCTGAGAGCTCACAGCCTCACAGCATCAGAGGGAACAGCCCTGAAGTTTCTAAGAATTCTTGAAGGGAGAACAGCATTACAGATCCACTGAACTCCAGCTGAAATATCTTCAAGCCTCGGCTGGTAGGTCTACTTGATACCCAGACGCATTTGGAATCAGTAGTAGCACCCACACCGATGAGGCATAGATAGAAAGCAGCCTGGGAGAGGTTTAAAAGGGTTTTTCCTACAGAGAAAGTTTAGTTAATCAAAGTCAGGTACCGGTCCATTGAGGACTGGACTAAGAAAGCCTTGAAGTGTTGTTTGAACCATTGAAGATTTGTTGTTTGTTCCAAAATAAAGACTTTGTTGCATCATCAAAGACTCTAAAGACCATCACTTCTGAAAAATCCCTGAGAACCTCTCTTTGAGGCCCCCTGGCTTCCCGCTGGGCTTAAAATATATGTCCTATAGAAAAGTACAGTTGTTACAGGCCCAACGCACGACAGAACAGGTCTCCGCATGATTATATGGGATAGATAGTGTTAATATGTTTTTCCCAGCTTGCTGGGAAGGAGGATACTAGGGCTGGGTAACCACGGAAAAATTTGTTTCTAAACTCAATTCGTTTTTAGGGGGTTTTTGTGTTTCGTTTTTTAAAAGAATTCCGAAATTTTTCTTTAAAACAGTTCGAAATATACGAAATTTCGTGAAATTACGAAACAATTACGAATCGATTCGTTGATGGCGGACGCGATTGCGCAATATGCTAAAAAACCCTCCAAATGGGACAGGGGGAACTTCTGAAGCTTCCCTCTCCCTCTGTTGTTGACTGTTGGTGTGATAATTTATTTTTTATCACTTGTAAAACAAACAACAACCCTAAAACTTGCACTAGACATACGGAAATAATTACGAAACAATTACGAAATAAATTGAAAATTTTGTTTTGATTTTTAATTACTCCTGCATGGCTCAATATAAGATCGTAAGCTAATTTAAATACGAATTAATAACGAATTATGAAATTAACGAACGAAACCGCCCAACCCTAGAGGATACCCTAGGACTGCTCCTCCTACTTATTTTGACAAGCAGGGATATGCAAATAAAGTCTAAAGACCACTCCCTAGTACAGAACCAACCTGTTTTTAGTTTCCTACCTCCCTGATACAATTATTTGGTGTTGGCCTTCTGTATTCTCTGACCAAAAGAAAGGATTGTTTTACTGCATTGCAATTACAGTACTTGACTCCCAGTCAGAAGAGCCCATCCTGGAGTTATCTTTCTTCAGACCTAGTTGGCACTTGGTGGAAAGCCGGAGGAAGGATGCTAGATATCAGAACGGTAGTTCCACACAAGCTACAGTCCGTGCAGGTAGATGGGGACTCCAGGCTACATCCACTTGCCTGCACATACATAATTAAAGAGATGAAATCTCAATTCTTCCCAACTTTACTTAATTATCCTGTAGTGAAAAGTTCTTCTTGACATATGGGTTCACAAAGAAGACTCCTACCAGCATATGGTCCATGGATTCTGTTCTCCTTCTGCAGGAACTCTTTAAAGTCGCCGATTGGCTGAGAAAGGCGGTATATTTATTTATATTTATTTATTTAAAACTTTTATATCCCGATCTTCCCTACCTCTGCAGAGGGACTTGGACCAGCTAACAGCAAAGATTCAATGCTAACATTGAAAATCTAAAACATAATACACAACATTAAGTTACCAATTTCATTACATAAATTACATAAAAGCCATTCGCCAGGATAAAATGGTGTCCAACTCAGTCCGTATGTCCATCCATATATTGTGATCAGTACCATTAGTCGATTGCTGGTCTCAGACATCATTCCACAAAAGCGTTGTTGCACAGCCAGGTTTTCACTAGCTTCCTAAAGGTCAGGAGGGAGGGGGCAGATCTAATTTCATTTGGGAGGGAATTCCATAGCCGAGGGGCCACCACAGAAAAGGCCCTGTCTCTCGTCCCCACCAGATGCGCCTGCGAAGATGGCGGGACCGAGAGCAGGGCCTCTCCAGACGATCTTAACACTCTTGATGGTTCATAGGGGAGAATACGTTCGGACAGGTAAACTGGACCAGAACCGTACAAATACAGTAAATAAATAAATAAAACACTCAAATAAGACAAAACTTAAAACAAGACTGTTGGGCGAGTGGGCTTATTAACAAAAGACCCTTCTCATAAACGAATGGCAGAATAACTTATTAGCAGCAGCATGACCCAGCACCAGTAGCCAAAAGTGATAATAAGAACAAAAACACATAGAACAATAGGTTCTTGTGGGTTTTTTCGGGCTATAGAGCCATGTTCTAGAGGCATTTCTCCTGACGTTTCGCCTGCATCTATGGCAAGCATCCTCAGAGGTTGTGAGGTCTATTGGAAGTAGGAAAAATGGGTTTATATATCTGTGGAATGACCAGGGTGAGACAAAGGACTTTTGTCTGCTGGAGCTAGGTGTGAATGTTTCAGCTGATCACCTTGATTAGCATTCAATGGCTTGGAAGCGCCTGGGGGGAATCTTTTGTTCAGAGTGATTTCATGTGTGCTGTTTTGCTGTTGTAATTTTAGAGTTTTTAATACTGGTAGCCAGATTTTGTTCATTTTCATGGTCTCTTCCTTTCTGTTGAAATTGTCCACATGCTTGTGGATTTCAATGGCTTCTCTGTGTAGTCTGACATGGTGGTTGTTGGTGTGGTCCAGCATTTCTGTGTTCTCAAATAATATGCTGTGTCCAGGCTGGTTCATCAGGTGCTCTGCTATGGCTGACTTCTCTGGTTGAAGTAGTCTGCAGTGCCTTTCATGAACACGGAACAATGTTATATCTTTCTTAGGAGGCTTTTCTTTGTAGTAAAATAATAGAATTGCACTATTTACAAGAACAAGGTTTCCATAACACAAATAAAATTCTTTATACTTCTTTCTTTGCTTCCACGCTGGGCTACTTTCTCATACAGATAAACAGCTTCGCTCTCACTGAGCTTCCTCTCACACTGAACTTACAGAGGAGCTTCACACACTAGCTTTTTACACACAGCAGCGTTCACACTGGAGCTTCACTCATGAAAACTTCTCACACCAGGCCTTCTCACACTGAGACCTACTAACACTGAGACCTTCTCACAGAGTGAGGACTCTTCATACTGAGGGCAACTAACACTGCAGACTTCTTATACTCAGGCCTTCTCATACTGAGGCTTTCCTCAGACTGAGGGCAACTAATACTAAGGCCTTCTCACAGAGTGAGGTCTCTTCATACTGAGGGCAACTAACACTGCAGACTTCTTATACTCAGGCCTTCTCATACTGAGGCTTTCCTCAGACTGAGGGCAACTAACACTGCAGACTTCTTTTACTCAGGCCTTCTCATACTGAGGCTTTCCTCAGACTGAGGGCAACTAATACCGAGGCCTTCTCACAGAGTGAGGCCTCTTTACTGAGGGCAACTAACACTGCAGACTTCTTATACTCAGGCCTTCTCATACTGAGGCTTTCCTCAGACTGAGGGCAACTAATCCTGAGGCCTTCTCACAGAGTGAGACCTCTTCATACTGAGGGAAACTAACATTGCAGACTTCTTATACTCAGGCCTTCTCATACTGAGGCTTCTCTCAGACTGAGGGCAACTAATACTAAGACCTTCTCACAGAGTGGCGCCTCTTCATACTGAGGGCAACTAACACTGAGGCGTACTAAGCTACCGTCTCATCTGCTTATATTAAACTGCAGCACTTGCTGAGTCATTGCATCTATTTAACCCTCTCGGTGTTTAACTCACATTTTTGTAATTAAAATACCTAGTTAATTTTTAATATTTCTGACAAAAGACAAAACCTGAAAATTAACAGATCAAAAGCCAAGACCTGATCTTGATATCAGGATGTCAGATTTCATACATTACCAGCAGAGTTCAACCTGGTGTTGAAATACATACAGTGTAAATTGGTAGTACCAGCCATGCTTTAAGAGAGGGACACTCCACATCCAGAGTGGTACAGCAATGAATGCCTTCCCTCTTTCCAAACGGATTATGGCTGTGGATAATGGGACATACAGTACCCCTTAACAATCCCTGGCAAGTATGTATATAAAAAAGGAGGCACTCTGTCAGACATCCTAAAAATGTATTTCCTTACATGATGTAGAAGACTCAATAAGGCTATTGAATTCATAATACTGTCTTTTCAAAATGCTGTATAATTTTGATATCTCTTCATTTCCCTTTTGCTTTTATTTCTAGGTATGTGCAATCCACGCAATTACAGTGATACCCCTCCTACTTCCAAGAGTACTGTGGAGGAGCTTCACGAACCCATTCCTTCTCTTTTTCGGGCACTTACCGAAGGCGACACTCAGCTGAGCTGGAATATTGTTTCCTTCCCCGTCGGCGAAGAGCTGTCGCATCATGAGAACCTGGTGTCCATTTTAGAGACAGCAAACCAAGCCCAGCATCAGAATGTCTCTGTCGCAAATAACAATGTCCATCCATCCTACTCCAGTGAAAAAGGTAAATAATTGATGTTGACCGAATAAAGAATTTGCTAGTGCTTTTATAAGTTAGTTATTAAAGAGAGAGATGAAAAACAAGAGATATACATTTGATTTTAGGAAAGTGTGGATCCCTCTTTGAAAGGGCTGGAAATGCTAGAGCAGGCATGGGCAAACTATGGCCCTCCAGGTTTTTTGACTTCAACTCCCACAATTCCTAATAGGCCAAAACACCTGGAAGGCCAAAGTTTGCTCATGCCTGTGCTAGAGAGTTGTAACATGTCAGTAGAGGACCAGACCAAAATTAAAGATAAGTGCTATGCTAAACAAAGAGATCATTTATTTATTTATTTATTTCGCATATTTCTACCCCGCCCTTCTCAACCCCCAAGGGGGGGACTCAGGGCGGCTTACAAAAGGCACAATTCGATGCCTACACAATAATACAGATAAACATATATAAACAGCAATTAAAACTATTATAACAGTTAAAAGCAATCAATTATACTCACAATCAATAAAAAAATCAATCTCATGCTCAACATTCGCCAACTCAGAGTCCATAACTTCATTCCACCTTGTCCATTCCTATCAGTCGTCGCTGTCCTTTATTTATCTTCCAGATTGCCCAAACGCCTGGTCCCAAATCCACGTTTTTAGTTTCCTTCTAAAGGAAAGGAGGGATGTCGATCTAATTTTCCCGGGGAGTGAATTCCACAGGTGAGGGGCCACCACCGAGAAGGCCCTGCTCCTCGTCCCCACCAGTCTCACTTGTGATAGAGGCGGGGCCGAGAGCAGGGCCTCCCCAGAAGATCTTAAACTCCGAGGCGGGACGTAGAGGGAGATGCGTTCGGACAGATACGCTGGGCGGAACCGTATAGGGTTTTGTAGGTCAAAACCAGCACTTTGAATTGTGCTCGGAACTGGATCAGCAGCCAGTGGAGCTGACATAACAGAGGGGTGGTATGCTCCCTGTATGACGCTCCGGTGAGTACTCTGGCTGCCTCCCGCCAGTCTCATTCGTTTTTATAAAAGTGCAGGTAGAAGGAGTTCTAAAACATGAGTCCTTAATGCAGTTATTTCTTTGTTGTGTCCTGTGTGAAATGCACACCTATGAGTTTCCCCCCGCGCATGTGCAGCAAGTCGGAACATTCTCGAGTTTTTAAATTGATTTTTATAATGGCAGAAGCCCCACCCATCCTCCTAGTGATATATAAGCCGCAAGGCGGGGCTTAGCCTCAGTTCCTTTTTCCGCGCCAAGCAAGCAGTATCGACGAACTTCTTTTCTCTTTAACTACTAGCCAGACTGTTTAAACTCAATGACCGACCCTCTCCAACCCTGACCCATTTCCATGGGCAGCGAGTTCTGAACCACAAAGGCTTTTGTAAAAAATATAAAATACTAGTGAAGCCTTGTTTCCTTGTTTTGATACTGGAGAAATTTCACACTGCTATTATTCTATGTGGGATATATTTTCCTGTTTTCATTTTTTTCGGAACTGACACATATATTGGATCAAGGAGAAGGTGGTTTCCAACACCCTGAATTTGTTTCCTTCTATAGCCCGTTACTTAATCATCATCATCATCGTCGTCGTCATCTTTATTTGTACCCCGCTCCATCTCCCCGATGGGGACTCGGTGCGCCTTACATGAGGCCAAGCCCAAAGCAACAATTGCATAAAATAAAACAAAACCGAAAACGCAAATAATAAACAATAATAAAGCAATTTCATAAAACAAAAGACAACATAGCAATATAAAATTACCACAAACACGATCACCATAACATGGGCGAGCTACATGTAATGGACAAGGAAAACTGGGTAAAAACAAATTAAAAACTCAGGTGAGATAAACACGAGATTAAGCAAGGACAGATTATTTGCGGAGGAGAGCTCATTTTAGTGTGTCGTGATATGAGATCAATTCAAAAGATAGTAATTGTTGGGCGAGTGGTCTTATTAACAAGAGACCCTCCTCATATATGTGCAGCAGAGTAACTTATCAGCAGCAGCGTGACCCAGCACCAGTAGCCCAAAGTGATCGAAAGAACAAAAACACACAGACCAATGTTATATCTTCCATAGGAGGCTTTTCTTTGTAGTAAAATAATATGGTTGCACTATTTACAAAAACAAGGTTTCCATAACACAAACAAAGTTCATTGCTCTTCCTTCTTTGCTTCCATGCTGGGCTTCTTTCTCATGCAGACAAATAGCTTCACACTCACAGAGCCTCTTCTCACACTGAACTTACACAGTAGCTTTACACACAGCAACCTTCACACTGGAGCTTCATACACAATGGTCTTCAACCTAGGGCTTCCTCTCACCGAAGCTTCTCACACTAGGCCTTCCTCATACTGAGGCCTTTCTCT